TTGTGGGGCTAGAGATAGAGTTAAGACTGCAGACTGTTCTTGTAGAGGACCTGGGTTTGGCTCTCAGCACACATGCTAGGCACTTACAGTGCCTGTAAGTCCAGCTCCAGGGGATCTGACACAATATTCTGGCACCTGCACTTATTTGCACGCACCCTCACACCAACACAAACATATACATACAACTTAACATAGAAAAATTTAAATATCTTAGAAAAAAACCCATACCTTTGCATTGACCATAAGACACTTTTTAAAGATGTTTATAGCTACCAAGTAATTTAAAATGTCATTTGGAAAAATTCTAATTGTTTGCAAGTATCTTAGGGTTTCTATTGGTGTGATAAAACATGACCACAAGCAACTTGAGGAGGAAAGGGTTTATCTCAGCTTACAGTTCCACATCATCAAAGGAGGTCAGGGCAGGAACTCAAGCAGGGCAGGATCCTGGAGGCCGGAACTGATGCAAATGCCGCGGGGAATTGATTACTGGCTTGCTGCCCAGGCTTGCTCAGGCAACATTTTATGTACCCCAAAATTACCTGCCCAGGGGTGGCATTGCCTATAACATTTTCTCAATCAGTAATTAATAATAATTAAGAAAATAAACCAGACTTGCCTACAGGCCAATCTCATGGAGGCATTTTCTCAACAGCGATCCCTTTTCTCCAAATGACTCTAGCTTTTTCTTTTTTAAAGATTTATTATTTATACACCGTTCTGCCTGCACACCAGATCTTACTATAGATGGTTATAAGCCACCATGTGATTGCTGGGGATTGAACTCAGGACCTTTAGAACAACAGCGGGTGTTCTTAACCTCTGAGCCATCTCTCCAGCTCACTCTAGCTTGTTTTAAGTTGACATAAAATTAGCCATAGCTACCACTCCAAGTATCATGTAAAATTGTTGGTTTACAGAAGAAAAGAAGAGGCCAAAGAAAAAGAAGAGGAGGAGGAGGAGGAGGAGAAAAGATTTCTAGTAAATTTTTGCATCAGGAAAAAAAAAAAGCCCACTCAAGACTCTGAAAAGGATCAACAGGATGCACTGTGGCAGTTAAGATGTCTTCCAGCTAGTATAGCAATATCTATGTCTATGCCTCTAGGAACATCTAAGTAGATAAAACACCTCTTCAAATGATCAGCTGGACTTCTGTTAGACATGGCTTTGTCTATGAGTTAGATATAATATTCAGAGGATACTGCACACCATAAGCAAAATATATGCATCCCAAAATTAAGAAAAAGATAATTGACTCAGGCTAAGTGCTTTCTTCTATAGAGATGAAGTAACATGCTGGATGTGGTAGCGCATGCCTGTAACCCCAGCACTCAGGGAGGCAGAGGCAGGCCTATCTCTGTGAGTTCAAGGCCAGCCTGGCCTGCAAAGCAAGTCCAGGAAAGCCAGGGCTACACAAAGACACCGTCTCAAAAAACCACAAAACAAAACGTTTTTTATCTTCATCTCTAAGCTGTCAAAAAAATAAATAAATAAAAAAGAACCAGCTACCAAATTTGCACGGAAAGACAGAGCAATTGACAGATCAAACTTTAAACATCCCTTTGCCTTTTCAAGGTTGAACCCAGGCCTCACAAATGCTGGGCAAGACTCTACCAATTGGGTCACCTCACAGCCCTGTTGTGTTTTGACATTAAGAAATTTGACATTAAGAAAGCAAATAATTTTCTAGAATCTACCTTACACTACACTTCTACTGGTAAAGGCTGGTTTAACTTCAGAAAATATTCCGAGGCTCTGTGATATTCTAAATAGTTAAATTCACATTTTCACTCTCTAATACCCTCAGGAAACTTTCCCTAACACAGCCATGTTTCCTAGAAAACTCCCCGACCTGGAACTGGAGAGACAGCTTGGAAGCTCTTCCAGAGGACCTAGGCTAAGTTCCTAGCACCCACATGACTGCTGATGGTAGTCTGTAACTTGTGACAGAGGATCCATTGTCCTCTTCTGGCCTCCAAGGGCACTGCAAGCACATGCTAAACAGACACAACATGCAGCCAAAACACTCATACAATTTTTTAAAAAAAGATTTCTAAAAGAATATGGTATCACTTGTTTAGAAAAAAAGGAAATGCCCCTACTCACAAGACTCACGAATCAACTCTCTGCCTTCTTAAAAATGTCTTTACAGTTATTATGTCCCCACACACATATGCATGCACATGCTACAACATATATGTGGAGATCAGAGAACATGGGTCCCAGGGATCAGGTCCCACCTGGCCACAAACACCTCCCAGAGCCATCTTGCCAGCTCTGAGTCTCTACTTTTGCCCCTAACACACAGGGGCAAGTTCCTATGTGTTTGTATTCATGCTGTGCAAGCCTGGCTTCCTAAATTCAATCCCTGTAGGACATGGAAGTAGAGAATGGATTCCTAAAGTTATCCTTTACCTAATGTACATACACACTAAAAAATAAAATTTAAGAAGTCCAGTGTTTTAAATCGCTTTTCAAACTGATTTCTAAAATATCCTACTTGTGTATTTCAATGAATTTTATTTTAACAAAACTACACTCTCCCTTTAAAAATGAAATTGTGCAGGAAGGGCATTCATAATAAGATGTAGAAACATTTAAACCTATAGTTTTTTCATGTTACGTCCTAGAATTACCAATCTGTATACATGTGTACACATGTATGTCTGGTGCTGGAAGGTGGCTTCCAATTCCTTGGAAATGGAGAAGGTTGTGAGCTGCCATGTGGGTACCAAGAACCAAATCCAGACTCTCTAAAAGAGCAGCCAAGTGCTCTTAGCCACTGAGCCAACTCTCCAGCTCTTCACATATGAGCCTCACTAAGCTTTTCCCCTGAAAAACCCAGAGCAGGCTTTTCCACACACTTGTTTTCTATCATGTACTGCCAGTGTTTAAGACTTTCCAGTGTATTCCAGGGCTCACACATGACTAGATGATGGTTACTCTTATTCCTGCCACGTCTCACAGGCTGTTCTGTTTCTCTTGTGGTTCATGCCTTGGCAAACCGTAACTCCACACTCACATTATCTAACACAGCTAGATCACACTTTCCATTTTGGCAGTAAGGGTCACGCCTCATCACAGGGTTTTTCTAACCCCTTGAGCTTCTGTGTTAGATTATAGCCTGATGACATCACTCATCCTGCCAGTTATACAACTGAATTTTCACTTGTAATGGGAGCTTCAAAGTATGCAGCTGACACTGGATATTAATTAATGTGAAACAAACTACAAGTAAATAAAAAATTAGTTCAGACACACTGAAAACATATTTAATTTTTAAACAATGGTTTTTGACCCACAACATTGTTTCTAACTTCTTTCAGTTACTATGCTGAGCCCAGATTTAGATTACAGGTGAGAGTAAGTCTTAACTGAGAACATTTTGTCAAATGACAACCTTTTATTTTTCTTTCAAGGGAACAATAGAGCATTAGCAAAGAATGAGTCATTTTTCAGTTTCAACATTTGATCAGATTTGGCTTGTGCTAATGATGGACCCTTGTGACAAGCATGTTCTTTCTGTACAGTTTTCAGTGCAACCTAGAATAACTCAGTGCTGAGGAGGCAGGCCACTACACTGGACTGTCTTTACAGTAACACAGCAGCAATCGGATGTTTGTGGACTGTTTGGAGTGTCACTTGTGCACCATGTAATAATGAACATTTAGAAAAAGATTCAACACCAATGAAACACTTCATTACCCACATATTACACACAAGGGAAGGGTTATTTTAAAGTCACAAATAATCCCACATTTATTAAAACACATCACATCAGCAGGAAGTCTGGAATTGTGATAATGTTCCCAATTCATTTCTACTACCCTGAATATCAGCCCTGCTTCCCTCCAAAAGAAAGATAAAGCATAGTAAAACGAAAAGAGCACGTAGGCTGCTAAGGGAAACACCTATTAAAGTTTTTCCCTCCAACAGGATCTTAGAGCTGTTATTTTATACAAGACAGGACTGGGGTGAGAAAGCAAACACTTGTCAGTACACACTTTGTTATTGTGGGCATCATTTCTGTTTGTTGTATTGAGATAGACTCTTGCTATGTTGTCCAACTATCCTCCTCCTTTACTGCTCTGAGTAGCAGAGACTACGTGCCAGATGCCCATTTTAGACACTGTGAAGTGTCCACTAACATCCTTTCTTCATTTCTTTTCAGGCAAGATCTGGTGATACATGGACTTTGGCACATATACAACTCTAAAACCATATATTACATATGTACACTTATCCCATATACATTCCATAGTCATTCAGAGTTCTCCAATTGAGTAATAACATGTGAAAATTGGGTTCATTTACAATCAACATCCAGTTCATCTCAAAATGAAAATTCTATTTCTACAACTTGTTCATTTCAAATAAGCATGTCCTTTTATTTGGAGGAAACTTCAGAATTCTCAAATTATACACTGAAATTATTTATAAATAAATACATAAATTCTCATTTATACCAAGAAGCTAGCTTATATCTTTATCTCAAGGAAGGAAAAGCTTTTTTTTTATTATTTAGAGATTCATATAAAAATAACTGTTGGTTGAAAAGGTCTGAGAAAATGCTGATTCTTAAAGTTTCACTTATTTTCCTTGAAGTTCTCATGAATGATAAACGAAGATCATGTAACAGGAAACTTTAACTAGGGTTCGATTGCAAAATAAAGCTTCAGTTCAAACTCTTTTTGTAAGAAATAATTTTCATGACTTTGTCCCCTCACACTAAGCCGAATCAAGCCCTCAACTGTAAGGCCTCACCCAGGGTACTTTTATGAGCCTGTCTGCAGGAGACCACAATCCCACTCATCCCACACCCCAGCAAGGACTTGGCAGCAGATTTAGCCACGTGTCCTGTCATCAGAAGTATACAGCTTTAAACTGAAGTTAATTATAAAGGGGTACATTATATGGGTGTAACTGGTATTTTAAAAAGATTCACTAATGGCTATTACAAATAAATTATCTGGACCAACTCAATAATAAAGTAACTAGTGAAACTTTAAAAGAACCATCTGTTTAATAACATATAAATATAATGTCAGCAGAGAGTGTAGATCTCTTGAGTAAATTATAACAACATGGTCATAGGCTTTTCAAGGTACTTTCTGAACTCAGCAAGCCACTGGGCTCCAACTGCTCCATCCACAACTCGGTGATCACAGCTGAGTGTAACAGACATCATGCTAGCCACATCAAAGCTAGAAAGAAAGAACAGCAGAGGGTATTCTGAGAGAAACCAATGACTCTGAGACAGCAGCCACCATGTGCTGACTCCTCCCATAATCCTACCTAGGTAGGTTATCTCCCACTCACTCATTCAGAGGACTGAATTTAGGCCTTTTGCATGCTATGCAAATGCTTTGCTACTGAGCTGTTCCTGGGCCTCTTTAAAAACAAAAACAAAAACAGGTTTTTAAATTTCTGAGACAGTTAACCAGGTTGGTCTTGAACATGCCACGCGGTTGAGACAGGCTTTGAACTTCTAACCCTAGAGTAGCTGCGATTATCGATCTGCACATGAAACTTGTTCCACCCACTCTTTATCTTGAGCTCAACCTGGCAGCTTGGGGCAAAACTAAATACATCCGTGGGAACATGGATTACCAAACTATACAACATAGGCCAAATTTTGCTTTCTGTCTATTTTGATGAAGATCTACTTTTCTTGAAGTCATTAGCATATTTTTTTGTCTGCTCTCATAGTAAAATGGCAAGGACTCAATAACAGACCACACAGCCCAGAAAGCTAAAGTATTTACTATCAGACTCTTTAAAACATGCCAACCTGCCATCTAGAAATTTCAAGATCACATCTCAAATATGACTGACTGAAATCAGTAAATAAGTCAATAAAAGTGGCTTACCTTTGCATTTCATGTTGTATTTACTGTATTTAATTAAAGCCATATCTATACAAAAACTAGTAATGATATAATGCAATCGAGTTCCCAACACCCGCTCCACTTTCCCACTCACCCTTTTTCATTATCTGCTGGGACCAGTTTATCCTCTGAAGCACCAATTGCCAAAATACATGCCTGAGGTGGGTTGATAATTGCAGAGAAATTCTTAATTCCAAACATCCCCAAATTGGAGATTGTAAATGTTCCACCCTAATGGAAAAAGTATAAAAACAGATTATACTGTCCACATAATACAGAAAAAAAAAAAAAGTACAAACATTCTCTAAAAGGGCAGTGAGATAATCTTTTATTTAAGAAAGTCTTGAATAGGACACAGATGATACGAACCAAAGACAATTGTTTTCCCAATGCAACCGGTTTTTCCATGCAATTATGAAAACATGTCTTTCAGCTTTTCCCACGTAACTCAATTGCTTTATAATTGCTTTATTTTCAAGACTAAGTATATGTAGCAAAATCAGAACAAAAAATCCAAGAGAAGAATGTAGCTGACCTTCAAAGTAATACATGCCTTATAGCTCAGGGATGGTGTCCTACCTGAAACTCATGAGGCTGAAGTTTACCCTCTCTGGCTTTGGATGCTAAAGAAACAACATCACTCGCGATGGTTTCCAGTCCTTTTATGTGTGCGTTAAACACAATAGGAGTGATAAGCCCTGCAGGGGTACTGACAGCAACGCTGACATCAACCACATGGTTTCTGTTGGAAAAAAAAAAAAAGAAAGAATCAAACTCATCAACATCAAACACTAAGAGCTGCAGGGGCTGGCGATGGCTCAGGGTGGAGAGCACTGGCTGCTCTCCCAGAGGACCTGGGTTCAATTCCCAGCACCCTCATCGCAGCTTGCATGCCTATAACTCCAGTTCCAGGGGATCTGACATACATGTAAGCAAAGCACCAATCGACATAAAAATAAATAAATCTTAAAAAAAAAGAAAAGAAAAGAAAGAGGGGCTGGACAGATGGCTCAGGGGTTAAGAGTATTTGTTATTCTTCCAAAGATCCTGAGTTCAATTCCCAGCAACTACATGGTGACTCATAACCATCTATAATGAGATCTGGTGTCCTCTTCTGGCATGTAGGCAGAACACTGTAAAATAATAAACAAATAAATCTTAAAAAAAAAAAAAAAAAGGCGGAAAAAAGGGGGGCCCCCCCAGTTCTTTCCTCTGCTCTGCCAAAAAAAAAAAAAAAAAAAAAAAAAGGAAAAGAAAAAAAGACCAAAAACAGCCACCACCACCCCACCCCACCCCAAAAAAAAGAAAAGGGAAAGAAAACCAAAACCAGACCCCCAAAAAGTACCAGGTTAAATATGGATCTGGATATTTACTTGAAATACTGTAGGTGCTTAGGATGCAGCTTAGTGGTAGAGCTCTGCCTATGCACAAAGGTGAAACCTCCTAACACGAACCACACTCCCCAGGCACACATAAGGTTTTAGAAGCCGCTGTGCTACCATGCAGAGGTGTCTACTGCACACATTAACATCTCGTCGTGCCTTTTCTTTCACTTGTACTTTTAAAAAAGGTTGGTTTCGCACTTTAATTCCCCTTGATTAATAATACACAGAGTGGCTCGCAAATACATCACAACTAGCATGAAAAACTGACCTTTCTGAGTTGTAAGAGCAAATACATTGGCTTTAGTAGCGTCTGCAACAAAGCTTGAACACATGGAGAAGGAGAGAGAGAGGAGGGATACACTGTGGGGATGGGGATGGGGATGGGGATGGGGATGGGGATGGGGATGGGGATGGGGATGGGGATGGTGAGATGGCTCGTGGGTAAAGCACCTGTAGCCAAGCTGCCAACTTCAGTCCTGGAAACTCATATGGTAGAAGGAAAAAACATACTCCCAGAAGTAGTACTCAAGTTGGTCATGGCACACATGTATGTCAAAGTGGGGGAGGTAGGTAGGAAGGTAGGTAGATAGGGGAATAGAAAGAACAGAAGGGGGAGGAAGAGAAACAAAACATAAAAAGCAGAGACATGATGGGGGAGAAGCCAGAGTGCCCAGGACACAGATGTGGTCATGAATGACTCAGGAGAAACTTAAGGTAGGATTCCCAATCTTTTCTAGAGTAGACCAACGATGGACCAAAACCCTGAGAGGAGCATCTCAGACTTTATTTGTTGAACTCTGTGTCTCTCTGTAAGTCAAGGTGGTCTAAATTCCATCTGTACGCTTTGTAGAGTTTTCAGTACACTTGAGCATTTCCCTAAGCTCTGTGACTTGTCCAGTTAAAGGGGTCCTGGGAACTTGTTTATAGTCAGTTGCCAGATCTGAGAGCAGCATCTCCAGAGGGGGCAGTCATGTGGGACTGGGGCCAGATCTCTGAGATCTGACATTATCTCCAGGTACACATAATCAGAATGAAGCACCTAGCTGCTGTCCACAACAAACCAACTGGCTGATCTCTGATGACACGTATATGTGGTAACATGTGTGAAGACAGAAAAAAAAAAGGAGGGGTTAGAAAATGTTTTTGTTCTTTTTTTGTTTTTTAATTTTATGTGCATTGCTGTTTTGCCTTCATGTACGTCTGTGGGTGTCAGATCTTGGAGTTACAGACAGCTCTGAACTGCCATGTGGGTGCTGGGAATTGAACCCAGGTCCTCTGGAAAAGCAGTCAGTGCTCTTAACCGTTGGGCCATCTCTCCAGTCCCCCTTCTTTTTTATCTTTTTTTTTTTTTTTTTTTTTTTGGTTTTTAAGATTTATTTTTATTTACTATGTATACAATGTGTTTTGCATGTACATCTGAACACCAGAAGAGGGCATTAGATTTCATTAAAATGGTTGTGAGCCACCATGTGGTTGCTGGGAATTGAACTCATGACCTCTGGAAGAGCAGCCAGTGCTCTTAACCTCTGAGCCATCTCTCCAGCCTTCCACGTTTTTATTTTTGTTTTTCATTTAATAATAATTGTAATAATAGTGGGGCTGGAGAGATGGCTTGGTTAAAGGCATCCACTGCACCAGGTGTGGTGGGATACACCTGTAATCCCAGCACTCTGCAGGGGGCGGGGGAGAGACAGAGGCAGGTGGATCTCTGTGAGTTTGAGGCCAGACTGGTCTACAAAGTGAGTCCAGGACAGCCAAGGCTACATAAACAAACCCTGTCTCAAAAAACCATCCACTGCTGTTGCAGAGGACCTGAATTTGGTTCATAGCACCTATGTTAGGCAGTAACTCCAGTTCTAAAGAATTTGGTGCTTCGGGTCTCCTTGGGGATCTGTACTCATTCACAGACACCCATATAAAGAAACACATTCAGACACAAAATTAAAATAAAATTTAAAAATATAAAAGTTCCTAACTACATACTAGAAAAGGCCTGGGCTTGAGCTGGAATGCTGACCCTAACCAACTTACTAACCTGGGAAAAGCTACAGAACTCACTGAGCCTCCGTTTCTTCATCCCCCCCCCTCCAAAAAAATTATAGATGTGAACACAGTTAAGTGATAAAGTGTTTCCAAAGGCCTAATGAAATGTACCAAGCCATTCATGCACCTGTACATTCACAAATACTTTTCAGTATGTTGGCAGAACTCACTGGTGGCCAGAAAACTGACTCCCCCCTGCTTTCTGATAGTTGTTATTAGTGTAACTGGCTTTACACCGGTTTCCTTTTACTGAATCCATAAAAGGAATAACAGCCTTTCCTGGCTGGTCAAACCTGCTTACCACGGGCGTCAATCCTCCCATCCCTAGCTACAATTAGCAGACATAAGCAAACTGCAGGCTGCCATGCACATTCTCCAGTCACGTACTGTCTTATGACTGTGTCCATCCAAGATGAGTTTGCTTCAGGGACTTTCAGACAAGCCAGAGCTGAAGCTTTTATGATGAAGTCATTGACGGAGATTTTTCCTTTCCCTTCAAGCATCTGTTAAGACAATAACCAACTAGCTTTATTAAACTCTCCCCCAGAATCAGGTTCCTTTATTTGATTAATGGAGGCATTAAGAACTGCTTGGCACTGCAGCATCTTGAACACTGTGAATTATGGTGCACTACTATTTTCATTCAACTGAACCAAATGGCTTTTTCTTTTCGTTTGTTTTTTTGAGACAAAAAAAAAAAAAAAAAAAACAGCTGTGTAGCTCCAGCCGTCCTGGAACTCATTCTGTAGACCAGGCTGGCCTTGAACTCAGAGATCTGCCTGTCTCTGCTTCCCAAGGGCTGGGGTCTTTAAAGGCATTTGCCATCACCTATGGTGGAATTTTTATTTTTTATTTTTTTAAAAGATCATGTAAATGACAACAAACTAACAAATGTTTGGTTGAAAAAGAAAGTCATCTCAAATTCCTCAAATGAGGAGTGAAACGGGAGACATACTATCTCTCCAACATAAAAAAAAAGAGGTATTATGAATATTTAACACCAACAAATTAGACAATCCAAATAAAATGTACAAGTTTCTAGAAAGAAACAACCTATAAAGAGTATAAACATAATCATGAGATGAAACTGGTCCCAGAATCTGCTCACACAGGAGACTAGACCTAGACAGCTTGGTTTTTTTCAAGACAGGGTTTCTTTGTCCTAGAACTAACTAGCTCTGTAGACCAGGCTGGCCTTGAACTCATAGCGATTCACCAGCCTCTGTCCCCTAAAAGCTGGGATTAACAGTGTGTGTCACCACTGCCTAGCAACTGGCCAATTCTACCAAACATTTAAAGGCTAACAAAAATTATCTTCACCTAGTCTTCTAAAAAATGGAAGAGCAACTTAACAATTCCCCAGTGTTAGTCTCATTCCAAATATCAGACAAAAGCCCAGCAGTTAAAACCTAAACATTATCTTATGAATATAACAGAAAAGCCCTTAACAAAATATTAGCAGACAAAACCTAGCAATATATAAGAAGACTCATATATTTGTTTCAGGAATGCAAGACTCAGTAACATCTAGAAAACAAAGTGTGCAGAGCAGCATGGGACTATAGTCTCATCTATGCAGGAGGCTTAGGCAGGAGAATCATTTGAGTCCAGAAGTCTGGGCTTCATAGTGAGAAATTACTGTGGAACATCCTAACAGAACAGAAAGACCACATGACAGCTTCAACAGCCCAAAAAGACACGACAAAATTCAGTACCACTTTTCACAATAAAACACTTAGTGAACTTGAAGAAACTTCCTGATGATTAAAAGATACACAATCCCCCATAACTATCTCTCCTCATACTTCATAGTAGAAAAGTTATTTCCCCTAAGATCACAATAAGACAAGACGTCTCCAGGGGGATTTGTAGCTGGCCTGCACGCACATGTTTGCACAGATATACAAAATACACAATAATGCTTAAAAAATAAAAAGGAAAAACTGATACATGCTATAATATAGCTGAGCCTTGAAACCACACGATAAAAGACAAGCATTCGGTAAAGACCAGACTTCCTATGATTCTAGTCAGAGAATACCACATTTGCCTACTGGTAAATCTTTCAAGAGCAAAGTGTAAGAGGAGAGTGGGAGGATTGATGGGATTTGGCAAATGGCTATTAGGGGTGATGAAATGCTCCAGGTTTTACCCTGGTAACCTGGGTATGCTCTGAAAGACACTGACTGGGACACTACTTCAAGTGTGTGAACTGGGCATGGCGTTAGAATGGTTGAATATCTCAAAACATCATTCAGATTAATACATCAAATACATTGGATACATCAGCTATTTCAATACTTTGATTTTTAAAAATATTTTAGTTCAGTGGTGGCGCATGCCTTTAATCCCACGACTCAAGACAGAGGCAGATGGATCTCTTTAAGAATAAGGCCAGTGACCTACAGAGGAAGTTCCAAGACACCCAAAGCTACACAGAGAAACCCTGTGTCAAAAAACAAAACAATAATTTTTTTAGCTGTGTGAGTGCGTGCACATGTGTGTGTACATGAATGTATCCATGTGTACCACATGCAAATAGGAGCCTGTGGGGGTACAGACGATTGGAAGTTGATGTGTTTATGGTGAGAATTGAATATAAAATGGGTCCTCTGCAAGAACAAGTGTTCCTAAACCTGAGCCATCTCCAACCTGTTTCAATATCTGACAATACGGTAAGCCATCACCTTTAATCCCTGCAGCCACCTCCAGGTCTGCTGGTGACTCCTGCAGTCGGTTATGTGCCACACAAGTGTCCACTCTGTGCTGGGCACGTGTGTATGAAGCAGGGGACAGTAAACAAACCTCGGTCTTGGGGAGCATCTTCTAAATGGCTAACAGTGAGACACACAGCATCTTATAAGGTGTGGACGGGGACAGGGGGAAAAGGCTGTAAATTTAGAATAAGGAAGACCAGTCAAGTCCTTGAGGAGGTGAAGAAGAAAGCCACAAGGACAGAGCAGGCTCTACATCAAGAGAACACAAGTACAGAGTGTAAAGTAGGGATACCAAGAAACAGCAAGACAGCCAGTATGTCTTCAGTGGTGGGAAACAGAACTCCAAAAGGTCACAAAAACCCTGTGAAGGCCCTGCAGGCCATTCTAAGGAGCCAATGGGCTTCTGTTGTACTACTTTTTAAAGAATTTTTATAATTATTCATCTTATGTGGTTGAATGTCTTCATCCTTTGCTCTCTGCCTTATTTACTTACTTTTAAAGACTTATTCTATAGGCATGTACATGTGCATCATGTGTAAGCCTGTTGCTCACAGCGATGAGGCATCTGAACTTTGGAACTGGAGTTATGGGCAGCTAAAAGTCCTCATGTGGGGGCTGGGAACTGAACCTGGATTCTCTGCAAGAGCAACAAGTACTCTTAACCACTGTGCCATCTCTCCAGCTCCACTCTGCCTTACTTCTTCAGACAGTCTCTCACTGAACCCAAGCTGGACTAGCCATTAAGCCAGCACCAGGGATCTTGTCTCTGCCCTCCCAGCTCAATTACAGGCACAAATTGCCTGATATTTTATGATAGTGCTAGGAGCGTCATACTTGGGCAACAAGCACTTCACAGATCTCAAACTCCCAGTCTTATTTCTACTCTTAAAGCCCTTAACCCTTACAACTTTCAACCCATGAGTTTTCAACTCTCTGCCAATCCAAACACTTCATCTTTTTCCTGGTCCACCCACATTTGTCTTATAGCACTGTGAATTCCCCAACTACTACTGGTCCCCTTTAACTCTCTGTTGAACGCACAGTGGAATTCAGCAGACAATTGAGAGGCAGCTTCATAAAGAGCCTGGTCTACAAAGGAATACCATCACCTTTATTAAAACCATCTTCCCTCCTTGTCACAGTTAGTAATGCCCCAATTTCCATTATAAACGTATGATGAAGACAGACTGCTTTTTGCTCTCTATTCTCAAAAGGGCTGAGCTAAGTGTGCATGCATACCTGACTATAAACATGTGAATATCACTTCACAGCAAAGTGATTTTAAATGCTAAGTTCTTTTACTTCTTTTATTATTATTATTTTGGTTTTTTGAGACAGGGTTTCTCTGGATAGTCTTGGATGTTCTAGACTCTATGTAGACCACGCTGGCCTCACAGAGATCTGCCTGCCTCTGCCTCCCCGAGTGCTGGGATTATAGGCATGCACCACCATACCCACCGGGCTTAAATACTAAATCCTACTCAAGGGTTAACTGATAAACCAGAAAAGGTGGCACACTCCTGTAATCCAAACATCTTAAAAGCTGTAGCAGGAGGACTGCAAAGGCAGCCTGGGTTATATGGAGTTCCAAGTGTGTGCTACATAGTGAGTCATCGTCTAGAAAGTTGCAACAAATCAAAAAAGTTAAATGAAGCTTTTGCAGGATATTCCCTACTTAACAATTTCAAGAGACAGTAACTTTCTATCACTAACCAGTTTCTAACAACAAAGCACATGGGCAACACTGTAAAGCTTCCATGCCAAAGACAGAATTTCCGGCTTTACCTTATTGAGCTCTTTCCGTACCAACAGCACCTCTCCCATATTTACATCAATAGATAGGTAATAATGAGGTATGGTCTGCTTCGACTGCATCAGCCTCTGCGCAATCACCTGAAACCAAAGAGTTCAACATTAGGCTGACACCAGACTTTACCTAACTCAATCTGCTTACCTCTTCTTCAGCTCGCTGGTAGCTTACTTCACACAACAGAGCAAGAAAAAAGATTGCTCCTTCTAGTAGATTAGCCAAAATAGAGACTTCTTCATCTCAATTACTCAGCTGACCAAATCAAATTTCCTTAAATTAATAATCCAGCACTTTGAACTGGCAAGGTCCTTTTCAGTGTTTTGAACTGTGGCACAACTAAGCAACCAGAATGGAAATGCCCAACAGCTCTGGCCCCAGACTGTGGTGGCGTTCTTACTCGACGAATGTTGCTGATGGGGATATCTGTGAAGACACCCGCAGGAGCTGGTGCCACCGTTGGACCCGGGGGAGCCATGGCAGCTGCTGCAGCCTAAGGGGGGAAAAAAAAGCACTTAGTGACTGTGGCTCGATCTTAGCATGGGCTGAAGGACCACCTGTGACATGCTACTGCTGTTGAGGACTATACGACAAATTGAAGCAGCAGAGTTCTAAGGGGCAGCTGGTTCCATCCCCACAGAGCAAAAGGGATTCTAATTAAGCTGCTTATTTAAGAGTATTGTTCTTTTCCTTTGTTTGGTTACTTAGAATTCTAAATCATGTTTTAAGAGTTATCATTTTTGAGGAAGTGTATATTCAATGACAAGTTTTTTATTGACGTTTTAAAGGTGGTCAAGGCATGGTGGTGCATACCTAAATTCCCAGCACTCAAGATGCTAACGCAGGAAGATTTTAAGATCAAGGTTAGCCTGCTTCCTCAACATAACCAGAAAAGGTGGAGTGTGGGATAGAGGGAAAGCAAAGCATAGAGGAATTAAAGAAATAAATATAAAAAGAAAGGCCCTGGGCCAGAGAGGTAGCTAAGCTGCAGGCGTGCTTGCCAAGCATGCGTAGAACCCTGGATCCAATTTCCACAATAACAACCATTTTAATCCAGGTATGGCTAAAACCAATTACAAAAATAAAATAATTTAAAAAGCCAAATATAACTCACCGGAGCAGCCTTAGAAGGCACGAAAGAGTCAATGTCCTTCTTGATGATTCTGCCTTCTGGTCCCGTCCCTAAAGAAACACATATATATCACATGTGACAGCCAGCACACCACTAGTTCTCCACGGTTACTGTTTGTTTGGTTGGTTGATTGGCTAGTTTTGGAGACAAGGTTTTTCTGCGTAATCCTGGTTGTATCAGAAAACACTCTGTAGACCAGGTTGGCCTTGAACTCAAGAAATCCTCCTGCCTCTGCCTCGAGAGTGTTTGGACTAAAAGAGTGAAACACCAGCACCCGGCCAACAATGGTTCTTTTTAACTACTATAAACAGTAACCATTTTTCTATTAAAGTTTCATTCAGCTAAACTGAACTCTTTCTTGTTCTTTCATTTTCTTATTTTGTTTATTTCCTTACTTTTAAGTTGGGAAATACTGACATAAGCATAATACTGACCACAGTTTATAAATCTAAAAGGAAAGTTAGCTGTTGGCTGTGGTTACCTTTTTTTTTTTATTTCAGTTTATTTACTTTACATGCCAAGAGTGACCCATCTCTCCTCTCTTCCTGATCTGCCCCCTTCCTCTCCTCCCCTTTCCCTCTCCCTTGGCTGTGGTTAAATTATCTTAAAAAAAAAAAAATCAACAACAACAACAAAAAGCAAAACAGAAACCCCAACTCACTGAACCTTGAAACAAACTTATTTGACATAAAGTATTTCTTTGAGTAAGAGTGACAATTTTCTAAAGGAAAACGCTTATTCAGAATACCATGAATAATGTGTAACTAAAATGATCTACACTTTTAGAATCATTCATTTTCCATCACACACCAGAGCTAAATTAATACATGTCAAAAACCAAGGAGAAAATACTACAATGCATTTAAGAGACCTTTAAGTTCTCTCACAGGCTTACTTTATTCTATTTTCCCTCTCCCCTCCCATGCATAACTCAGGTTTAGGATTAGGGTTAGGGTTGCAGGTTTAGGCTTAGGCCCAATTACATCATCTTGACCTTGAAGCAAATTCAGAATGCACTTATTATAATACCTTTTCCACTGGCCCACTTCTAGAAAAAAAAAAAAATGTCAAATTGATTCATCTTCCCCCATGGCAGCCTTTTAAAGGATTCCCACTGTGTGCAGCTCTTCCCAATTCCTTTCCTTCATTATGAAAACAGAGTTGGCTAGAACTGTTTATCCTCACCAGGAGCTCTAGAACACAGGCGGTAGGTACCTCACCTTTTAAACACACAGAAACTATAACCTTCCCTACAACCGGCCTTGAGCTTGATGCCACCTCCCTCAACCCCTCAGAGGAAACCAGTTTGCTGAGTTAGCTAAGGCTTTTAATTGCTTTGCCAGCTCCCCAGGAAAGCATAACAGGTGATCATAAACCAATATGGTACGAAGGGAAGACCTAGACTGGCAGTAAAATTGCAGGGTTCTGCTGAATTAGGCAGCTGACTACAGTCAACTGCAAGATGGAGAGTACAGCTCCAGCCCTGTTCACAGCTGTATGTATTGTGGAAGAAAAAAAAAAAAGGGACAGTGAGCAAAGGTGCTGTGCACCAAAATACACAAGACCGCCTACACTAAACACCAGAAGCCTCAGTAGTTTCTTCCTCAGTAGTTAACATTTTAGCTAAGTTTGCTAAACACCCTGCTTCTCTATCTGACTTTTGGTTCTTCTACAATGGAGTTTTGTTTGTTTCTTTCTTTTTCTTGATCTCTCCTCCACAACCCCAATAATGAATAAATAAATTTAAATCCCTGAAATCCATAACAAACACATTCTTCTCTTTGCAGGTACTGTTGTATGATAAACACAGATGTTTGATCTTTGTTCCAGACTCTTGGCATAGACCTTCCAAAATCTTTGGGATTCCAAGTGGTAAGTATTTACTCTTTTTCAGTCATGCCTCCTTCCATTACACCAGCTTATGCTAATGAGGTGACTGAGGACAGTGCTTCTGGATAAAGGACATCAGCCTTGTTAGCCTAAAGACCAAACAAACACTTAACTAAAGTGTGATAACCTTCAATATTCTTTCCACTCTCCCTCCCCATTTCCTGCTTCCTGTACCAATTCCACTAAACAGAGAGAAGCTGAGTTCAATGAGCACTGGCCAGTGATTTACTCAATAATGTCTTTATGATGACACCTCCATGAAAATAATGCCTTGAGATCCAGTGAGCTTCCTAGTTGGTGAGGACAGCACTGTGATGGCAGGACAGCAAGCCTGGAGAATGCATGGGTGCTCTGTGTATCCCTTCCCACTATACCTTATCCTACACATCTCTCCATTGGCTGTGTGTCTGAGCTGTATTCTTTGTAATATACTAATAATAGTACATAAGGTCTATCAGTCATTTTAGTTAGTTATCAAACCCAAGGAAGATTGGCAATCTTTGATTTACTGCTAATGAGTTATATATACAGATAGCCCGGGGGAAAAGGAATCTGAGGTAAAAGGAATCTGCTTTCACCTATGGAGTCTCATGCTAACTCTGGGTCATTAATGTCACACTGGACTGAACTGTTGGACACTCAGTTGGTGGTTATATTGGAAAAACTCCAAACACTTGGTGTCAGAAAACAGCACACAATCGTGGATCCTGAGCTCACTGAGCATATGCCATAAAAGCCTGGGTCAGTTCCCAGGACAAAAATAAAAAGTAAGTAAAACAAAGAAGACTCCACTCTACTAGGGGTTGGGAACAGCCTTCCACTCTCACTCGCCCTAACCTCCATTCCTTTGTTTTTTCCTCCTTCTCTTCCTCCCTCCTTCTCTCTCTTTCTCCAGATTACATTCCTCAGACTACTGTTAGAATCATTCCCTTGCAAAACTCTAAATCTTGCTCATCTTTTAGTTAAGTACCAGGATGACTCAAGTGTTGCTTACAATAAAAAGCATGTGCTTGGCTGACTCAGCTCAGACCTGAAAACCTTAAACAGATGCACAGAAGTTTCAGAAATGCAACTGTCCCTTTAAATTGTTCCCAACCCCTAGGCTACTTTATAATCTCTCTAATCTCAGCCCTTTCCAGATTCTGCAAACTGAAAACCTTAAATTTATACATTGAACAGTAGCAGGGAGAGAGTCTTATCATCCACCACCAAACAACCATCCATAATCTCAATTAAAACAGATAAAATGTTCTGAATTCTATAAAAGGTCAATCCCACTTTTTTAAAAATTCTTTATTAATTACACTTTATTCACTTTGTATCCCCCCTGTAGTTCCCTCCCTCCTCCCCTCCCAAATCCCTCCTTCTTCTCCCTTCTGCATACATGCCCCTCCCCAAGTCCACTGATAGAGGAGGTCTTCTTTTCCTTCTTTTTGATCCTAATCTATTAGGTCTCATCAGGAGTGGCTACACTGTCTTCCTCTCTGGCCTGGTAAGGCTACCCCCCCCTTAGGGGGAGGTGATTAAAGAGCAGGCCAATCAGTTCATGTCAGAGACAGTCCTGTTTCCATTACTATGGAACCCACTTGGACACTGAACTGCCATGGGCTACACCTGTGCAGGAGTCCTAGGTTAAATCTATGAATGGCCCTTGGTTGGAGTATGAGTCTCAGGAAAGACCCCTGTGCTCAGATTTTTTTGGTTCTGTTGCTCTCCTTGTGGAGTTCCTGTCCTCTCCAGATCCTACTATTTCCCACTACTTTCATAAGATTCCCTGAACTCTGCCCAAGGTTTGGCCATGTCTCAGCATCTGCTTTGATAGTCTGCAGGGCAGAGCCTTCCAGAGGCCCTCTGTGGCAGGCTCCTGACTTGTTCCCTGTTTTCTCCTTCTTCTGATGTCCATCCTCTTTGCCTTTCTGGATATGTCAATCCCACTTTTTATATCTCAAGAATTCTGTTTCCTGCCAAACCATCCTACTCTGTCACCCGTCTAATGCATCAGTTTCTCAAGGATGGGAAGCTACTTGTGTGCTTTGTGAATGCTACATTCACATTAGATAAGTGCTACCACTGTGCTGCAGCCCCAGCTTCTCAGTCTCAGGAGCCCAGCAGGCCCTGAACTGACCTGCCTCAGACTTTTGACCAGCTAAATTACAGGTGTGTGCCATTAGGCCCAGCTTCTTTTGCTTCTTCTCACCCTTGTCTTCTATTCTACCCCTTGCTCTCTGTGTTCTGTTATATGCTGTTGGCCTATGGACCTCTGCCAAAATGCTTTCTTCCAACACTTCACAAGGCTGACTCATAGATGACCCCAGGTCTGGAGATGAGATCATGTGTCATCCAGAAAGATCCTTCTCCTATCTAAAAGTCATTGATAAATTGAAGTCATCTATAGAAATAGATGTCACTGAATCTATTTCTCTTTAGCTCCTAAGTCACCTCAGTTCATAATAAAAATGTAGAGCAAAGAGAGCTGATATGCTTTCTCTGCACAAGCACTGTTAACTTACTAATCTTCACAAATTATTAAGTATTATTTTTATATACAAGTTACAGAGTCAGAAAAGGTCACACTGTTAGCACATGGCAGAGCTAACATTCAAACCTGATTGTTCTGTCTCTGGATCCTATTCTTAACTACAGTGTTAGACTTCTGCTCACTTCGTTCTCTCTTGCTGGCCAATGAAGCCAGAATATTCTCCACTTTATGAACAAGTCCTTGATGCACAGATGGTACTTGATAAATATGTGGTTAGCTAACGATAAAGGAATTACTTAACCCAGCCTGCATGAAAACAATACTGGGGTTCTTCAACTTATCCCTCTAGTAAAATAACCAGCACCACCAACTCTCCAACAATTGACTCTACTTATCCTAGTTCTTCAGGCACAACTATTAACTCTGCCCCTCCGCTCTATTAAATGCCTTGTCTCTGGTACTAAGCACAAATTAATAAAGAATTTGCCACACCAACAAAGCAGCAGCTTGGCGGTGGGTGAGAACCAGCCTCAGGGCACACAACCAAAGCTGTGGGGACACGACTGTAGCTTTCTTTAGTGATTATGGATGGCAGCACAGGGTAATGGGAACAATACAGAATTTAAAGCAGGACCTGGTGGTCCAGGTCTGTAATCCTAGCCACTCAAGAGGCTGAAGATAGAACACTGCAAGCTCTGGGCCAGCCTAGGAATTTTTTTTTTTAAATTCCGAGAAATAGAAAATAGAGAGGAGGAGCTAAGAATATGCATACATGTTACAGTGCCTGCCTCGTATGAATGAGATCCTATCTCAACCCCTAGTAATAAAACAAAACAAGAAAAGAACTGAGCTGTTGAGAAGGCTCAGTGTGTAAGGTGTTGCTGCCAAACCTGATAACTTGAGTTCAACCCACATGCATGAGGTGTCACACTGTATAGAAGGTCAGAGCACAAACTATTTCTACTATGTGGGTCCCAGGGATAGTACTCGGGTCAGCAGCAGCAAACACTTTTACCTGATAAGACAGCTCACCAGTCCTGCTCTGCTTATTGCTACACTCAGTCAAACTACTACAGAGCCAAGCCCTCTAACTCAATATTGCCCAACAAACACATATACTTTTGCCAACAATTAAGACATGATAAAGAGACAGATTAATTGTGGGGATATGAGAGGAGAAACAGAAGCCTCTCACCAGCCGAGAAGCAAGAATTCCAACAATAAGCATCTGTTGGCCAATTCTCCTCCCAGTGATAAACCAACAACTTTCTAGGAAGCTCACCATTTATAATAGAAGACTCATACTAAAACCCTGTGCAGTCCTAAAGGCTCCTGGTTTTCTCTCAGACTATAATTCTATCTACTGCATATCTAGAGCCACCCCATAATCTCACTTAAAAAGGAAAGATGGAGCGGGAAGAAGAGAGCCACCAAAGTGGTGTCTATGGCTAATGGTAGGACATTTCATTCAACTCTCCCTCGTGGACCCACACTCACAGTTGGGTATGTCTGCCCTGTCTACTCTCCATTAAAAAGCCCACAACCACACTTGGATATGTCTTATTTCCCCGAGCATATTTCTCTTAACCCCCATGCTTAAAATCTTCATTAAAAGTATCTTTTAATAAAGTGCACTGTTCTTTGATGTGCTTTGATTTGTTTGTGAGTATCTTTCTTCTTTTTTGTTTGGTTTTTCAAGACAGGGTTTCTCTTTGTAGCTCTGGCTGTCCTGGAATCCACTCTGTAGACCAGGTTGGCCTCGGGGTGGCCAGACATCCATCTGTCTCTGCCTCCCAAGTGAAAGGATTAAAGATATGGGCCACCAACCCAGGTTCTGAATGCCTTTCTACTTTCAATAAAACCCCAATTCAGCTTCATTCTGACAAGCCCTAAAATTCCTTTTCTGCATCAAAGCCACAAAGCGTGGGTTTGCCTGAGTCGAGGTCCCTAAGCTCAAAGGAGCTCCTCAGAGTTCTGAGGGCAAATGTGGAGGGAGTGATGCTTCTCTTCCTCACCATTGCTATTAAACATTTCCTATGAATAGAGGACAAACTTACAAGGTCACAGATTACATAGGCAGATCAAAGAAAACACAGTGATGCTTTCCCATTCCACGAAGGCAACAGAGCTCCTCCCCACGCAACTATATGCACTACTCTCACTGACGCACTTACCTGAACTTTAATGTACAACCCCTTTCTTAAAAAAAAAAAAAAAAAAAAAAAAAAAACCCTTACCTTTAACTTGGGTGAGGTCAATCCCTTTCTCTGCTGCCAACTTCTTTGCAAGAGGGCTAACAAACACTCTTCCCTTTGGTCCAGGAGGAGCAGCTGAGGGTGTAGGCGCTAAGGGCTGGGGAGTGGGAGGAACAGCTGCTACCTTTGGAAAAACAGAAAGTATCCACTCATTACTGCAAAGTAATCTGAAAAAAAACACTGGGCTTTGTTTGTTTGTTTGTCAAGACAAAGATCCTCCATGTAACAACCCTGGCTGTCCTGGACTGTCTTTATAGACCAGGCTGACCTCTAACTCATGAAATGCGAGATCTGCCTGCCTCTGCCTCCCAAGTGCTAGGATTAAAGGCGTGTGCCACCATGCCTGGCTACAGGTTCATATTTTTTAAGGTAGAAGTTTTTATAATTAAATGATATTTATACACTTTCCTGTTTAACTAATATAAAATACAAATGGCAAGAATATTTTCTGTCAAAGACAGAAACAGGTCATGCTAACAGGAGAGCTACAGAATTAAAACTGACCTATGTATAATATCCTTATCACCTGTCATTTCTTGTCATTTTTTCCTCTGAGACTACGTAACCCACAGTGATCCTCCTGCCTTAGCCACCCGAATGCTTGAATCACCACACACCTTGCTTCTTGTCACTTTTTTATTTTCACTAAGTATATAATTAACATGGTTTCTGCTTTATTTAATCTCATTTCAGGATATAAAATGATACTAACAGGTTTCATGTTTCAAGTGTCTTAAGGAATGGAACACAGAGCTTCCTGCACATCTGAATCAATGAAAGACAGTGAGAAGCCAAGCTTCCTCTGAGAAAAATGTACACCTTTTCTAATCCCACGGAGGTATATACCGAAGAGTGCAAGTGTATGATGCTACAAGTCATGTCAGAGGAGACATGTCATGTCTCAGAGGCAGGGTCCAAAGTCCAAAATGTGTGCTTCAACTACGATACAAAAATACCAGAACTGAAAGTGCAAACAGGCATTAGTAGAGCAACAGAAAATGTGGAGTGAAACCATCACCTTCCTTGGGCATTACCTTCACACCAACAGCAGAAGAACATGTAACTCAGCTTTGTTATCAACTAGACTCAAGATGGCAGAAGAGCAACTTACCAACCATGAGGTGGACAGCACATACTATATGCCACAGATTAATGGGTGTTGCCAGTCACTTTCCTACATGTAGGATCCGGACACCTGGCTGAAAGGATAATTTCCCAATTCAGAAGCACACTTACCGGGGGTGGGACAGGTGGTGGTGCCTGCGGCTTTAAGCTGGTCACTTCCGTTGGCCTATAGTCTGCAAATGCTGCTATATCTTCCTGTTTTTCTACTATGATACAAAGTGGAGTTCCTAGCGGAACGTCCCTTGTGCCTTCAGGGATAAGGATTTTTGCCAGATAACCTTCTTCTTGTACTTCAAAGCCTTAAGTAGAAAGAAAAACATTATGAAACTCAAGACTTCATCATTGCTATACCTTCACCAGGGTTCCAGGTAAAGGTTTCATATTCAAACTACTGGTATTAGGTTTGTTTGTTTTACAAACTATTTAACTTCTTTGTGCCTCAGTTTCTCTTCTTTAACATGGGAACAGGAAGAATATAGCTAACCCTCTGGCTACAGTTCTGCATCCCTAAATCCAATCAAGTGTGGGTCAACATTACATCACCACTGACATGAACTATGAAGTCAGCCTATGGAAATCTGAACTTAGCATATACACTTTTTATTCTTGCAATTATTTCCTACGTAATACAGTGTAACAACTATTCACATAGCACTGTTGTTTTCGGTATTACAAGTAACTGGAAATGATTAAAAGTATACAGTTGTAGAGGCATAGCTCAGTAACAGAGATCCTACTAATTTGCTCAAGGCCCTAAATTCAATCCCAGTGATCCCACCCTAACCCCAAGTACTATGTCCACTTACATAGGAAACTTTATTCTACAGACTTTCATCCTTGGATCAGTTTGCCAACGCATGTATGAAGGAATGATTAACTATACTATCCTAACATAAATGTTAGATTTAAATCAATTAATATTTAAGTACTTAGAAACAGTATACTCTGCACAAAGTAAATGAAAAATGCAGTTCACTCTCCAAGTCCTTGAGATCAAAACAATTTGGGAAAAAAACTACCTGGGTAGAGCACATATAGATGACTTTCTGGAGCCAGTGCCTTGTGGACACTGACATAACCGTGTCTGTTCTACTAAGACTGCAGACAGTGACTCATTCTGAGAGTTACTGAAAACAACTCAAGGGCAGCCCTTATGTGGCACTCACAGGACTTTTTTTTAAAGGTATCTATCTATCTATCTATCTATCTATCTATCTATCTATCTATCTAT